CATTCGATTTTATATCAAAGAAAAAAATCGGTACATAAAGCTACATAAAAAATTTAAATTTGAAATGTACCGGGACAAAATTAAAATGTATCGTCGAATAATAAGAAAACGTACGCGTGAAGAGTATTATAAATTTCAAATAAATGCCGAAAACGCTGTCAAAGAAGATTCTCGTAAATTATGGGCCTATATAAATAACAAAAGAAACACTAGTCGAATTCCTGCAAATATGGTTTACATGAATAAGTCGCTAACATCGCCCCAAGAAATTGTGGACATGTTCGCCCAACACTTTAGTAGTGTTTATAAACCAAATAATGATAGTGGCTGTGATAGTGCAAGTAATACATCAAATGGCGATAAATGTGCGCCAATAATTACAAGGTGTGATACCACCAATTGTGATGTTTATGCAAATGTGATGCATACCTTTTGTGTAACTTCCAATGATATTACCAAAGCTGGAAAAAAACTGAAGAATTCATTCACCATGGGCCCTGACAATATACCAGCTTTTCTTGTGCGGGACTGCTTACCATGTATTGTTGCACCGCTTTTACATATTTTTAATCTTATTATTACAAATGCGCACTTTCCAAAGAGATGGAAACTTTCCAAAATTTGCCCTGTGCATAAATCAGGCTCGCATAATGACATTGTTAATTACAGACCAATTAGCTTACTATCGAATTTCTCAAAGATGTTTGAATCTATATTATCGAATCATATTTATAGTCATGTATCTAATTTAATTGTTGTAGAACAACATGGTTTTTACAAAGGTCGGTCTACTATTACCAACCTATGTGACTTTACACAATTTGTCTCGAATGCATTGAACAGCAAGCAGCAAGTAGATGTAGTGTATACAGACCTGACTAAGGCTTTTGATCGAGTCAGTCATACCATTTTAATTACTAAGCTCGAAAAATTTGGACTATGTAATAATCTTGTTCACTTAGTGTATTCGATTCTTAGTCATAGGTTTCAATATGTTGAGTACCAAGGATATAAATCAATACAGTTCGGGACTCATTCAGGTGTTACGCAAGGATCAAATTTAGGTCCGATATTATTTTTAATTTTTATTAATGACCTTGTTAAGCATTTACATTGTAAACCCCTTCTATATGCTGATGATCTAAAGATCATCAAAGTTATTGCTAACGATAATGATTGTAAATCACTGCAAAGTGACATAGATATAGTGGTTAGTTGGTGCATTAATAACGGCTTAGAAATAAATCGAAAAAAATGTAAAGTCATGACTTTTAGTAAAAAAATAAAAAATATAGTAAGCAGTTATTATACAGGGTGTCCCAGAATTCGCGCCATTCCCGTGAATGACATGTTCCCTGTCCCGAACTGTGCCGTAATTCGCAAAAAGAATTGTCCAGGCTTTAACCGTGTGAGAACTGGAAGGCGATTAAGTTGACCAATAGAGAGGCTGCTTTTATATCCGAACGTTTCTATGTTCAAAGTTACCTATGCCAAGAACAAAAAATTGGGTAATACTAAAGTTGAATGAATTTTTTCCGAATCCCCCTCCGTCAACAAAAGGAAACAGAAGTGTGGTTATAAATTTAATCATTTTGACAATTGTTTGTCATAAACTGTCACGAAGTTCATCACTGACCTGAAGAGACGCTTCTGCCCCAAAGATGACTGATTAATGTACACAGAGACGTCAAGGTTTACTTTAAGGCCAGTAGCATGGGACAGAAGTTATTTCTGCGGCCATTCTAGTTAAATTGTGTTTAACTGGGCTGTACATGTCATAAGAGAAGCTGTTTCATTTCATCGTAGGGAAATAATACATTTATTAATATTCGACATAGTGTGGATACCGAAGAGCAGGTATTAGAAGTCATTTTCTTAGAGCCCCGTGAATAATGTGTTGTTCTTTTTAACGAAAATTAGTACATTTTCAGAATTCACTATGCATCATATCCCTGATATTAAGTTTATCGTTATTTCTAAAAAAGAGTACCACATGTCCATTCAAAGAACGTTATTAAGTGTACTAAAGAGAAGATGGATCTTTTCAGCCTAGTCGGAAAGGCCGTGCTGGGGCTCCACGGAATGTACGTGTAGGTGCTGAAGAGCAAGTGTTAGAAAACATGGAAGCGGATCCTAGGAGAAATGTCCGCTGCGTAGCGCAAATGAGTGGATGCTCAAGATCGACCACTCATCGTACCTATCCTACAAGAGAGAAGACTGCATCCTTACCATTACACGAGGGTGCAGCATCTGCGACTAGCCGACTACCCGCAACGAGTACATTTTGCGCAATGGTTACTGCGACAAAATGAACTAAATCCTGATTTTTCACGGCGCATTCTTTTCACCGACGAATGTTCATTTTCCCGAGAAGGAATGTTTAATGCACACAATTGGCATTTCTGGGCACACGAAAATCCACATCTCACTAGGGTGAGAGCATATCAGGAGCGATTTACTATTAATCTATGGGCTGGAATCATTGGTACTAGTGTGGTAAAAATTTTAATGCATCTGATAAAATTATCACTAAACTCCGTTCCTGTTTATTTCGGTGGGGCCGTTTGTGTTACCCGATTACCTTAATGGGGAGGTATATGCTAAGTTTCTACGACTAGAGCTTCCGACGTTGTTGGAAGACGTTCCTTTGAATGTACGGCGGAATATATGGTTTCAGCACAACTTTAAAAAAACTGTTTTAAATCATATGCAACATCAATATTATTCTTGAATAAGTCTCTGTTTTCATTATCTGCCCCACATGATTGACACCACAGCAGATACCTATGATCTCAATACACCAGAGAAGTGGAGTCTCGTCTATTTTTTCGTTGCTTAGATTAGGTATCAGCAACAAAGCTGTTCAGTAAAAATTGATACTGTTTATTGAAAATCATAAGCACCGATTAATCAAAAGCGATATTTATGTTTTAGTACACTTAATAACGTTCTTTGAATGGACGTGTGGTACTCTTTTTTAGAAATAACGATAAACTTAATATCAGGGATATGCTGCATAGTGAATTCTGAAAATGTACTAATTTTCGTTAAAAAGAACAACACATTATTCACGAGGCTCTAAGAAAATGACTTCTAATACCTGCTCTTCGGTATCTACACTATGTAGAATAGTAATAAATGTATTATTTGCCTACGATGAAATGAAACAGCTTCTCTTATGAAATGTACAGCCCAGTTAAACACAATTTAACTAGAATGGCAGCAGAAATAACTTCTGTCCCATGCTACTTGCCTTAAAGTAAACCTTGACGTCTCTGTGTACATTAATCAGTCATCTTTGGCGCAGAAGCGTCTCTTTAGGTCAGTGATGAACTTCGTGACAGTTTATGACAAACAATTGTCAAAATGATTAAATTTATAACCACACTTCTGTTTCCTTTTGTTGACGGAGGGGGATTCGGAAAAAATTCATTCAACTTTAGTATTACCCGATTTTTTGTTCTTGGCATAGGTAACTTTGAACATAGAAACGTTCGGATATAAAAGCAGCCTCTCTATTGGTCAACTTAATCGCCTTCCAGTTCTTACACGGTTAAAACCTGGACAATTCTTTTTGCGAATTACGGCACAGTTCGGGACAGGGAACATGTCATTCACGGGAATGGCGCGAATTCTGGGACACCCTGTATAAACAACGAGGAAATTGATAGATGTAATGAATTTAAAGATTTGGGGGTTATAATGGATTCTAGTTTGTCTTTTGTGCCTCATGTTAATTATATAGTTAACACTGCCGTTAAAATGTTAGGTTTTATAAATCGTAATACACGTGAGTTTAGAAGTCTAGAATGTATAAAATTGTTGTATAAGACTCTTGTTCGTAGTAGATTAGAGTATGCAAGCGTAATATGGAGTCCTTATTACAATGTACATATCAATGCAATTGAGCGTGTTCAGAAAAAACACTTAAAACATTTATATTTTGTAATGTCTGGCACTTATCCTTATAGGAATGTATCATACGATAGTCTTTTAGATCAGTTTAATATGCCAAGCTTAAATTCGAGGCGAACTTATAATTTACTTGTATTTTTATATAAATTAATTCATAGTATTATTGATAGCCCTGTTTTACTTAGCAATGTTAATTTTCAGGTACCGAGTTATGGAGTTCGCTCCTTTACTAGCATTTCTTTTGAAACGCCTAATACGAATCAGCATCTACACTCGCCACTTTTAAATATGTTTCGTTATTATCACAGCGTTCAAAACAAAGTCGATATTTTTGAATCTTATATTATTTTTCAGAATAGAATCAAACTTTTACTTGATACGAACTTCTTTTAAGTGAATTTATCTTTAGTTTGTAAGATTGTATTCTTTTTAATACCCTACAAAAACATTTATGTTTGTTGGGTTATAATAAAATATTATATACAGGGTGTCCCAGAATTCGCGCCATTCCCGTGAATGACATGTTCCCTGTCCCGAACTGTGCCGTAATTCGCAAAAAGAATTTTCCAGGCTTTAACCGTGTGAGAACTGGAAGGCGATTAAGTTGACCAATAGAGAGGCTGCTTTTATATCCGAACGTTTCTATGTTCAAAGTTACCTATGCCAAGAACAAAAAATCGGGTAATACTAAAGTTGAATGAATTTTTTCCGAATCCCCCTCCGTCAACAAAAGGAAACAGAAGTGTGGTTATAAATTTAATCATTTTGACAATTGTTTGTCATAAACTGTCACGAAGTTTATCACTGACCTGAAGAGACGCTTCTGCGCCAAAGATGATTGATTAATGTACACAGAGACATCAAGGTTTACTTTAAGGCAAGTAGCATGGGACAGAAGTTATTTCTGCTGCCATTCTAGTTAAATTGTGTTTAACTGGGCTGTACATGTCATAAGAGAAGCTGTTTCATTTCATCGTAGGCAAATAATACATTTATTACTATTCTACATAGAGTAGCTACCGAAGAGCAGGTATTAGAAGTCATTATCTTAGAGCCCCGTGAATAATCGTCGGCACCCAGACCAACATGTGTTTCACCGACTGTTACATCGAGCAAGAGAAGATGGATCTTTTCAACCTAGTCGGAAAGGCCGTGCTGGGGCTCCACGGAATGTACGTGTAGGTGCTGAAGAGCAAGTGTTAGAAAACATGGAAGCGGATCCTAGGAGAAGTGTCCTCTACTTAGCGCAAATGAGCGGATGCTCAAGATCGACCACTCATCGTATCCTTCAAGAGAGAAGACTGCATCCTTACCATTACACGAGAGTGCAGCATCTGCGACCAACCGACTACCCGCGACGAGTACATTTTGCTCAATGGTTACTGCGACAAAATGAACTAAATCCTGATTTTACACGGCGCATTCTTTTCACCGACGAATGTTCATTTTCCCGAGAAGGAATGTTTAATGCACACAATTGGCATTTCTGGGCACACGAAAATCCACATCTCACTAGGGTGAGAGCATATCAGGAGCGATTTACTATTAATCTATGGGCTGGAATCATTGGTACTACTGTGGTAAAAATTTTAATGCATCTGATAAAATTATCACTAAACTCCGTTCCTGTTTTTTAGGTGGGGCCGTTTGTGTTACCTGATCGCCTTAATGGGGATGCATATGCTAATTTTCTACGACTAGAGCTTCCGGCATTGTTGGAAAACGTTCCTTTGAATGTACGGCGGAATATGTGGTTTCAGCACGACGGCGCTCCTCCACATAATTCGATACTTGTACGACGAACATTGAAAAGAGTATCGTCATAGGTGGATTGGGCGTGGCAGTACTAACATCTGGCCTCCTAGATCTCCAGACCTTTCTGCTTTGGACTTTTTTTTTTGAATCAAATTAAAAATTACGTATATAGAGAACCCCTAGATACGTTAGAAGAACTGGAAGAGAGACTGCACGAAGCCTACGCTACAGTTACTCCTGAGATGTTAAATAATACACAACACAACATAATTCGACGAGCTAGAACTTGCATTGAAGTTAATGGTGGTCATTTTGAGCACATTGTTTAATAACGTTACAGTACAACGATTCCAGCCCATAGATTAATAGTATTGCTCTTGATATGCTCTCACGTTAGCGAAATGTGGATTTTCGTTTGCCCAGAAGTGCCAATTGTGCGCATTAAATATTCCTTTTCGGGAAAATCAACATTCGTCGGCGAAAAGAATGTGTCGTGAAAAATCAGGATTTAGTTCATTTTGTCACAGTAACCATTTAGCAACATGCACTCGTCGCGCAGTCGGCTCGTCGCAGATGCTGCACTTTCGTTAATAGTAAGGATGCAGATTTTTCTCTGTAAGGATACGATGCATGATCGATCTTGAGCATCCAATCATTTGTGCCACTTGTTCTTCACCGTCTATGCGTATAATCCGTGGAGCCCCAGCACGGCTTTCCGAATAGGCTGAAAAGATCCATCTTGTTTTGCTGGATGCAACAAACGACGAAACACATGCTGGTCAAGGAGCCGATGATTGGGGAAAAGACCTGTATATTCGCGCACAGCAGTGGCTGCATAGCGTGTACATTCTCCATAAATTAACATCATTTCCAAATATTCTTTATACTAGTATGAATAAGACATCAATAACTTAGTGGTATTGGTGCTGATTTGTTTATAGTTTGTATTGTTCTTAAAAAAAATTGCAACTAAACGATTTTTGTTATAATTTTTATTCGTATCTTTTCAATCTCTAGAAAGTACTCACAACTTTAAAGAAACTGTTTTAAATCATCATGTGCAACATCAATATTATTCTTGAATAAGTCTCAGTTTTCAGTATCTCCCCCACATGATTGACACCACAGCAGATACCTATGATCTTAATACACCAGAGAAGTGGAGTCTCGTCGCTTTTTTCGTTGCTTAGATTAGGTATCAGCAACAAAGCTGTTCAGTAAAAATTGATACTGTTTATTGAAAATCATAAGCACCGATTAATCAAAAGCGATATTTAGGTTTTAGTATACTTAATAACGTTCTTTGAATGGACATGTGGTACTTTTTTTTAGAAATAACGATAAACTTAATATCAGGCATATGATGCATTCTGAAAATGTACTAATTTTCGTTAAAAAGAACAACACATTATTCACGGGGCTCTAAGAAAATCACTTCTAATACCTGCTCTTCGGTAGCTACTCTATGTAGAATAGTGATAAATGTATTATTTGCCTACGATGAAATGAAACAGCTTCTCTTATGACATGTACAGCCCAGTTAAACACAATTTAACTAGAATGGCAGCAGAAATAACTTCTGTCCCATGCTACTTGCCTTAAAGGAAACCTTAAGGTCTCTGTGTACATTAATCAATCATCTTTGGCGCAGAAGCGTCTCTTCAGGTCAGTGATAAACTTCGTGACAGTTTATGACAAACAATTGTCAAAATGATTAAATTTATAACCACACTTCTGTTTCCTTTTGTTGACGGAGGGGGATTCGGAAAAAATTCATTCAACTTTAGTATTACCCGATTTTTTGTTCTTGGCATAGGTAACTTTGAACATAGAAACGTTCGGATATAAAAGCAGCCTCTCTATTGGTCAACTTAATCGCCTTCCAGTTCTCACACGGTTAAAGCCTGGACAATTCTTTTTGCGAATTACGGCACAGTTCGGGACAGGGAACATGTCATTCACGGGAATGGCGCGAATTCTGGGACACCCTGTATTATTATATTATATTATATTAATGCAAATAAAATCTGCGGTTTTATATACTTATTAAAAAACCATCCATGAATAAGGTAAGTCGCTAACCACGTTTCATCAATTCATCGGTTCCAAAATTTGATGACGCCATTTCAAAATTTGCCAAGTACTTTAAATTCTATCGAAAATGTGTAAAATGACATGTTTCTAGACGTGTAATTCATACGTATTTTAATCTTATGTATGTAGGTTTTGAGAAACAAATTTAATTACCGCGATCACGGTAAACTTTCATAATTTATCTAAGAAATTGAACTTTCCTGAATGTGCTTCAGGAGCGAGGAAAGTTCTGTTTAGATAATTTTAGATCGATTTTTGGACGGAACTCTTAGTTTTTGATATAATTAATAGTTAAAATTTTCGTTCGACACTTTAAAAGCACTGAAAATTTCAAAGGATTCCATAGTTTGTGTCTAAATGAAAAAGTAAAATAAAACAATAGAAGAATATCGCTTATTATACCGAGAGAGAAGTAAAAAACACGAACAAAGACATAGCTGTTTTTGATCGTGTTTTTATTGCACTCTCTCGGTACAATAGGCGGTGCAAATTCCTGTGATTTTATCCATAACAATATGTACTTTTAACGAAGATTTAGAATCTACTAATAGATTATTTGTCTGTTAAGTTGGAGCAGTTAATAAATTCTTTTGAAAACGTAGCTTTGATAATTTAAATTTAGTTCTAGACAGCCCCTCTAATCTTCGAGTTGTTATCATTATTAAAAAAAATAAAGAAATATAACCATTGTCCATTTAGTCTTTAAAAGTAATCAAATTTGCTTTTTTATTGTTTTATTTATTATGAGGGGTTATCGATAAACAGTTAACCTTAACAAAATTGACAGTGATGACAATAATGACGTTATTTACCGATTCCATGTTGTAAATTTTCAAAGAAAATAAAATGCGATATCTAAAAATCTCTTTTTTGACGAAATTAATCGATGATGGAGTACTTGTTTTTGAAAAGGGTGGATACATTGAAGAATCATAATTTTTCTTCCACCACCATAAGAAAATGAGTTGCCGAATTTAAAACGAAAACAACAGACGTGAAAGAAGACAACGACGAACTAGTTATGACTGAGGGACTTTCAACTTTTTTTATGAACGTGTCTCGTATTATCGCTATGGACGAACTACGACTCTATAATTACAAATTAGAAACAAAAGAACAATCGAAGAAATAAAAACGCACTGGCTCCTCCTTCGTTCAAAGAAGGAAGAACTACTTAGAACAGGGCAAAGCTATGACGGGGGCGTCTTATTGTACATTATTAACCAAGCCTGTAGAGAAAATTATGTCGAAATACCGTGAAAAATTTCTTAAGGTGTTCGTTTCGTGCAGGACAAGTGTTTCATTGCGATGCAGAAAATTGGTAAACTTGATTTTGAATTAAGTAATTGACCCACCACTCATCCATCAGATGATTACCTATTTCCAAAAGTAAAAAAAAAAGGGAAAACATTTTCAATGAATAAAACAGTAATAACTTTTGTGGAAGAGTGGTTTGCCAACTAAAATAAAGATTTTTTAAGGTTTAAAACTACTTTACAGTGTACATTGTGTTAAGTGTATACAGTTAAAAGGTTAAATTAATAAAAATTTGTTTTGAAATACCGTAACGTGTTCTACGTTTAGTTAAGAATTTATCAATGCCTCGTGTTTCATTTAAATCACTTATAACCGACGATTTATTTTCTGGGAGGAGACCAATGTTACGTTGCCCCACCTCCAATGTGACTTGACGTTTTTAAAAACGATTCTCTGTCTTAACACACTATACTATGTAAAGTACAATTGTTATTCATCGCTTTTGCTATTCTATAAATGAGCATATTATCATTGGATTATTAGAGGGTGATTTATAGAAATTATCCTTGCGCCTCCACCAAAATTGCTTAAGGGATGTTAAAGCATGTGCAACCGAGTTCCACAATCATAATTCAGCTCCAATATTGGGGCTTATCCTGAAACTGTATAGCGTCCTAAATTGCATAGTGCAAATTCAGTAGATCGTTAATACCGCAGAAATAAAGTTCAAATCTCGTTAAAATGAAAAACCCCTACATTAAAATTTTATATTACTTTCTGTACCATTAACCCGAAATCATTTCATATAAATTTATTATTTAGATCTCCTCTTTTATGACGAAACCAAAAAAAAATCATAATTTAGCGGTAGTTTATATTCAAAGATGAATATAAAACAGATAATAAAAACGGCAACATTTTAAAAGTCCACAATAAAATAAATAAACACGTTTTTATCGTATTTATGACGGTGAAAATTTTGAAAAACAACTAACAAGGTAATTTTCGGAAACTCACGATTGTATTGAATTTAATAAGTGTTTTTGGGCAGCCGCAGGCGGGAAGATCAACGAACTAATAAACCAGTTTGTTACGCGTATAATTTTCTTGGACATGTGTATAATAAGCGCTTACCTGAAGAAGAGCTGGTGGAACTGCGTGGCGAACGAGGTGAATAAGCAGCCGAGTGCCGTGATGAGACCTCCCATGACGGCGGTCACCCTCGTAGATTTCCGTCGGCAAAACGCTATGGTTACGGGAGATATGAGGAGGGCCACGCCGGTTGACATCGCCCCCAGCCATCCTGCAAGCAATGGACCATCGTTAGTAATTTATTCAACGACATATGGACGTGGCCCACAGCAGTGATGGAAGATATGATTCCCAAGAAAAATGCTGTTTTTATATTATGTAGATATAGGAAGGTGATAACTGACTAAATATCTAACGGTGCACATTAATCGCAGAGACATTGGGTGGACTTAATTAAAAGGTAGTAAATGTTTCAACTAATTTTTTTTTATAAAAACTTAAAAATACATTAATAACATTTTCGACAGTTGATATATATTTACAAAGTTTTAGTTTCTACAAAAAGTAGGAAATCTGTCAACAGAAATTTCAAACGATTTCCATAAACATTTTCCTTGTCTTTGGATGTTGTTACAACAGATTTGTTTAATTCAGTTCTACTATAAGAACGTTACTCCATTTGTACAAAAAGGGCGATCTCAGCAATCTAAAAATTTATTTCTGCCTATCTCTGGTAAATTATGTAGAAATAATAACAATAATGTAAGATAGAAATAGTTTTTGTAATAATAATACTTAGTGATTTTATTTGTATTATTTGCCTTAGAAAAAATAGAATGTTAGGATTCTTTCTGCAAGGGAAGTGAGTTACTTTTCAAAAATGAAACAGGCTGGTTCATGATATTGTCTCGGCGGGCGAAGCGAGCTATATTCTGTTCGAAAAAGGAAGTGCGAATCAGTCCACGACAGCTTTTGAGATTCTTAAAACGAGCAAAACAAGGTGTATTATGTTATCTCTAATTTTATAAGCATGACGAACATGTAACCGATCATCTAAAATGGGGGTAATATTATGCAACTCAAAAATTGGGATATGCAATAAACATGAATTTCTTGGTTTCTAGGGATACACGTAAAAATACTGATACAAAGTTAAAAAATTAGTCGAAGGTTATTTCGACAGAACTTCCCTCGCTCCTGAAATAACAGGTAATTAATTAAAAAATCACTCGGAGTAGGCGTTGGAATTTCATTTAACACAAAAGGTATGTCTGATCTTATAGTATAACATATATTTACTTAATATTTAGCAGAAACATAATCTTATATTAAAAGAAAAACAGTGTCTGTCAGATATCCAATCTTTGCAATGATTGACAGAAACTGCACATACATATTTTGCACATTTTCGACAGGATTTATACGGCAAAATTTTGTGATGACGTCATCAATTTTTTGGGAAGGTATAAACGAATAATTTTGATTAACGATTTACCAAGATTAGGATAACTTTCAAACGCTTGCAAGATTTCAGAGCATTCGGTTTTGCAGTTTCAAAGTTAAATTGCAAAATGTTGTTGTGCATTTTGATTTTTTTCCACAAATCTGGATGCCTAGGGTGAAAACTCAACACGGATTCCTATACGACAAGTTTTATAAAATTAAAAAAAGTTACTATTTTAAATTTTTGAGATGACGTTATCCCATTGGTGATGGACTATCGCACGCAAAAATATTGTCGGTACCCAACAGCGAGGGGATTAAGCTCCTCCACCTTCTTTCTGCCGGTTACCATAATTCTCTAAACACTCAGGTGGAATAAAATTGACAAGGACTAAAGTTTCCTTGCTTGATTACAGAAATTGATTACACAATACCTTCTTCAGGTAAAAACTATGTTGTAGTATCACACAATAAAATATATTCAATTCAGAAAGTATTTTTCTTAAGATAAAAGTGAATTAATGGAGTTTAAACAAGTAACTGCCATAACCGTAGAAATAATTATTTTTTAACACAAATGAATATTTAAATTTCTCATGGGTAGATTTTAAATGGGAAGTGGTGTTTTTTTATCAACCTGACTTAATGAGAAATCGAATAAACTGACGAATAGTAAGAATTTGAAAATAAAACAAGACGAAACCTCGGAAGGAAATATAAAAAAAATTATCTTGTGTCTGTTCAACGAAATCTGCTTTCAGTTATTTAATTAGTTTTTTGATCCTCTTTTTTAACGTTCGTTTTGTTTTTTATTAATAATTTATTACAGATTCGTTTTTTTTCCAAATATCTGACATTTCTAACTTTGGCTACCGTCTAAAAATTATTTCTACAGAACTTTCTTCGTCTTTGAAGTATAGTTCCACAAATCCCATTTCTTTAAAAAATTATGAACTTTGATTATGCGGTTTTTGTTTCAATTATATTTAAAGTAGATGACCAGCAGGAAAAATGAAATCCCAATTTTTCAGTCCATGCTTAACTTGGACTGTTCATGTTTAACTTGGACTGTTCATGTTTATACTTCGAAAGAATTCGATTATTAGCACGTTCCGATAACAAGCATCTGCGTTAAAAGAAAATGAAATTTTTGTCTTTCAATGCAAAGGAGAAGCGAGTTAACTAATTGATCATGCTCGTTTTTTTTCCTAAAAAATTTAAGAAATATGATATAAAACAATTTCATGTTAAAAAATCAAAACTCCATTAATTCACTTTTATCTTAAGAAAAATACTTTCTGAGTTGAACACATTTTCTTGTGTGATACTACAACACAGTTTTTAGCTGAAGAAAGTACTGTCTAATCAATTTCTGTTATCAAGCAAGGAAACTTTAGTCCTTGTCCAATGCATTCTACCCGAGTGTTTAGGGAATTATGGCAACCCGCAGAGACAAAGCGGAGTAGGTTAATACCCTTCGCTGCTGGATACCAACAATACTTTTGCGTGCAATAGTACAAAATTTGGGAACATACATACAGACAGACAGACGGAAACGAGAGACCTATTTCTTCGTACTTTAGGGATCAGGAAAGGTAGAGAGAACATAAAAGTAGGGAGTCGACCAATAGAATCGATTACAATACTTTCTTAGCTTACACTCGGGAAATAAAAATAAAAGTGAAAAAAGATTTCATATTTAAGATAAACAAATACAATAGGATAATTATATTACTAACATTATTACATATTATCAAGAAGTAATTTACGGCTAACTTTTTAATGAACGTCTGAGAGCTGATGTCATCGATTTTCGGAAGGGGATGCATATTATATAAATTGTAGTTAATGTTTTGTAAACATTAAATTAATATTTACCACTTAACAAAATTTTAAAGTATCCCATTATATAGTTGCAAATATATGTAAATCTTCGTCATCTTTTTTTTTCGTTTTAAGACATTCTATATTAGTGGAGTTATAGACAGATTTATTAAAACTACAATAAACTGAAGACAAAATAAATTTATAACTTTAGCGAAAGGTGTATTAGAAAGAGATTCTCTTAGTCATACATTATTCTGTTCTGTAGTCAATAATTCCTTTCATTTAAGGCTGACTGGTTCTAAAGCATTTCTCTTGAAATTTAACATACCTAAATTTATAAACAGTGAGCAACAAATCTTATGTTGTGACACTCGTAACGTTGTTTTGAACTTGATTTACCATTATTCTGTATTAATAGTTATTTATTGTTTCGTAGTGCAGAACTGCATTTTTCTGAGTACGAACAGAACTGGGGATCGAGCTGTAGATAAAGTCTGTAAAATACAGGCATTGGCAAAGCATTGTATAAAGTCTAATTCACAGAATTCTGTATAAAATTAAATAACCCAGATTAGAATTGACACTTCTTGAGTGACATATTTATCGGACAATGCTAGCAAATATTCTTTGGACCGCCGTCCCATTTTGTCCATTTTGCATAACTGATAGGCGGATGGCAAACACCGCTTTTGAATGACTAGGCCGGAAAAAACTAGATTTTTTTATTAGTGGCAAATGGCACGACTGCATAAACTGTAATTTCATGTTCTGTGGTTATTGCAATTACAAAAACATGATTTTTCAGTTTACAACATTACATTCAAACCAGTTATAAACCTAAATGGAAAACAGCATCAGTGTTGTTTTTTTGTATACTTAACGTAAGTTTCTCGGTGCCGTTTGTCTGTCTGTTGGAGTTTTTTTGATCTTTAAGTATATTTGACGGTCTAAATAAAACAAATATAACAGCAAAGGCAGAAATATCCTGTATCAGTGTATTGAAAAATCAAACAAAAGTATATCTATAACACTTTTACGGTTTCATAAAGACTGTAATACACCTGAAAGTTTGGATTTTTTTTTTATTTTAAAAATAGCACTAAATGAGAACATAAAATTTCAGATGCTAGTAGTTAGAACTCATAAATACTAATATCAGATTTTACCTGAGGCAGACACACTCTTTCTAGTAAACTTGTGGAATGGCAATTGAGACAACACTATAATCACGATCACGAAGAATGTATTGTGAAACTATAAATATACATAAAGTTTTACGATCTTGTTGAGTTCAAAGATGAATTAAATTCAGGCAGATAAAGTTAAAAGACAAAGAATTACAAAGAAAATATTTTCTCAAAGATTAGGACACTAAACTGAAATATCCATCTACAAAGAACGTTTACAACATTTGTATATTTTCTTTTGCCCATAAGTATTCTATTTTTGAATAATTCCATGAATTCTCGGATAATTCTAGATTTTGTTGAAATTTTGCACAATGTGATTTTTTTTTAAACTTGCATTCCATAATGTAAGCTCTTTTCTCGATCCTTCAAGTTTGTAGAGTGTACATGAAATAACTGCTAAACAAATAGTACAGATGTTTGAAAACTGTTCTGGCAGAAGTTAGTCGTGTTTTTCTTTTGTTATTTTTAGAAGAACTAGCTGAGTAAAATTCAAAAAAGGTTAATTTAAAACAAAAGATTAATTTCATAATAAAATGCCGAGCTTTTTATTTGAAAAATAACAGCAGACGATAACTTGGAAATGAAAGTGCTTTTTATAAAAATGTTATGATAAAGTTTAGTATTTTATGTTATTTAGGACCCAAGTGAATACTTATGTGCAAAATGTCCAACATTGACTTTCGAGAATAATAGAACAATAAATTATTTACTGTAAAATAATTACGAAACTTTCAGTGAGAATTTGTTCTTATATTATTACAAATTTTTCTTTGCTTATCACACTTGTCAGGTATGAAAACAGTTCGGTTGT